CGCGCCATCGCTGGTCTCGGCGGCGGGCCGGGCGGCTAAGGGCGGCGGTCAAAGGCTCGAGGGGCCTGTGGCGCCGCCACGGCGCACACCAGGAGGTACAGCCCGAGAGCCAGCGAGCCGCCTGGGCCCCTGGGGGAGAGGCCGGAGCGGGCGACCTCCCTCCTCGCGCTTCACCTAGAGCCCTCCTCGCTGCCCCTCACCCCACCCCTTTGGCGCACACCTCCCCACACGTACACACGCGCGCAGGCACCCGGCACACACTCACACGCACACCCGAGTGGGTGTGATCTAAAGCTGAGATGCGCTCTCGCGCCCAGAGTTCACACTCGGCCGCAACAAAACCCTCCTGAGCAGGCAGGCTCCCCTCTGGGGTACGCGTTCAGTAGAACTTCCTACAAAACTACTGGATACAGAGCTGGAACTGGAAAACACTGGCGACTCAGGATGCGAGTCAGAGAAATAGGGCTAGGGACTTTTCGTTCTAAGTGCTGTATATACAACTCTCTGTTTTCTGTCTAATGGGCTAGGAAGGCTCTTCGAAACCCGCAAATAATTCCAAAAGGATTTTTTACCTACTCCAACTGGAATCCATTCAAGAGCAGATAAATAACTAATTTGAGATCTATTCCTGTTCCTCCCCTTCGGTGCTCTCCAGAAAGTTTTTTTTTTTTTTAATCCGTTTAAGTATTCCAGGATGGTTAGCACAAGGGTAAGATGGCCTGGACTAACTGATAAACTGGAACATTGGTGGAAATCTTGGAAAGTTCATTAATATTACCAAGTTCATCCCCAGAACTGTTTCAAGACAACAATTATATTTGAGCCAGAACTTAATTATGTGATGATCTATCTTTATTTTACAGGAAGTATTAGTCACTCAGACACTGGTGTGTTTTAGTTCCCTAAAGCCAATGAAAACATTTTTGGGAAGCCAACCCTTGTTTTTTTCATCTTGAGAGGGAATTCAATTTACACATTCATGTCATAGGAAGGAGCTGTGAAGTGTGTAGAATTTTTTTTTCCCCTTAATCTTGAAGTTGTTATCGGGATATTCTAAAATGTTTTCCAAAGCCAATGCAAACGCTACAAAGGCGACTAGCCATGCAGACTAAAAAGGCAGTAACACCAAAGAACATTTCCATCCTACGTGTCTGATGGCTCAGTTGCACCCGCAAGGGTATGAATTTGATCCATTTAAATGCCAAGTCATTTATCAGTCTGACCCAAGAATAAGGAGTTCTTACTTTGAAGATTAAATGCCACTCAGTGATTTTTTTTTCCGTTTTTCATCTTAGCTATATGATTTCCTGGTAACTCCTGTTCTTTCCAAATGATACCTCTAGTGCTTAGTGTTTTAAAATTAGGGACAAGAAGCCCACACATCTGTGCCTTTTGTATGTGCCATCTACTGACTATTCCCCTACTCTTTTTGAAAGAGATGTAAATGTAGTTCTGTATTTTCTAAGTGAAAACAGGCTGAGAATAAGACCAAAATAACAATAATGAATGCAAAGAAGTTATGTCCCTGCGTGGATAGGAATAAAATAGCTCAAAGTCCTCCTATAGTTTGGAATGCTCTCCCTGCACACGTTTGTCACTCGCGTTCTGAGAACTTGCCTTTGCGATGTCTGTCATTTTGTTCCTTTTCTTTGAGGTTCCAGTTCACTGGCATGGTTTTCCTCTACACTTCACCAACCGGAAGTCACTTATGGGAACTCCTGGAGGTTACCCACACCTCTGCTGCTTAATCTATAGCCTTGTTCCCTGCCATGACTTCTTCCTTAAGACATGTGTCTGGCCTCTGAAAATAAAACCACATTTGGTTTCATATCTGCACCCTGTAGCTAGACCCAGACTTGCCTGAATCCTGGGTCAGCTCCACAGTGTTCAACCTGAGACCCACAGGACACCCACAACATGAAGGTAAGTTCAAATGTGTGGTTAAAATGGTCTTTCTTCCACCAGTTTCCTAGGAAGTCCATGAAGTACCGATGATGATTGAGTTGAAGAGATTCATTTTGTAAACAAGGACTGATTGAGAGCATAGTTATGAAAGCAGAGGTTCCACTTATCTACCACAGGCTTAATATTCTCAAGCCTCGGACTATCTGCTCCAGGTCAGGCTGTGTACAATTGTTAGTAGAACATCAGTACTGTCACTAATACTCCTCCCCTACCAGTTTCAACTCTGAAAATGTCCTGATCCACAATGAACTGTGCACCTTCCCTAAAATCCAGACTTCAATATTGGAAGAGTAAGTAAGCCCCAAAGCTGCTTTTAGTCATTTTTAAATGGTATTTTTTCTGTTATTAACTTTCTTTTTCTGGTCTTTAAATATAACTTGCTTTTGGCTCTTTTGGGATTTTATTTTTTTTGGGGGGGAGAGGTTTTTGCTACAGGGTGCGTGCGCTCACCAGAAAGACAGAGAGAGACAGAGAGAAATTGAGAAATCACACCCCAGGGGGGATGGCCATGCCCCAATCCCTTCTCCTCCATTCTCCTCTCGGGATCTTGGGCACTCACGCACACACACCCGGCGTGAGTTTAAGCCACCGAGTCCGGGACTCGCACTGTGGTTGACTACGTGGGAGTCCAGTGACATAGCCATTACGCTAACTGCTGGTCCCTAGAATTTTTTTATTCAGAAATTAATTGGACAATTCAAGAACCTCAACTTATTAACTTATTAGAAAAATAATACAAAATATCAGAAAAACTATAAATCATTTTGGTTTTATGCATTATGCTAAAACTATTTTTTTTCTTAACTGTTGTGGGGAAGAAACATTTAACATTTAACACTATGAAGCAATTAGGTAGCAAATAGTTAACTTTTCTGTTTACCAAACAGCCCCTCAATTATCAAAAGAAGTAAAAAATAAACAGAAATAAGTTCATTACATATGTCTTTGTCTGAAGAGGGATGAAAAGGTGGGCTGGCTTGCTAGGTCTGCTTCCGAAAGGCACAATGGGGTGTGGTCCTCCCTTTTCTATTGTTTTCCTTCTTCATTTGCAGAGGAAGAAAATTTAGAAATATGAAGGAAAAAGGGGGCATCAAGTGGAATGGAGAGACATGCAACTGTTTCACTTTCTTTTTTCATCTAAATTCCCTAAGGAAAATCCAAATAGCAAGTATTTATGAGATAAAGCTAACAATAAAACCAAGCAGTATAATTTGTTCAACTTTAAAAAGTAATAAAGTTCAAATGCTTAAAAGAGGAGGAGGGAAATAAAGAAGGAGGAGGAGGGAAAAGGAAAGAAGAAAGAAAAAAAAAGGAGGGAGGGAGAAGGGAAAATAACTTCATGTACTACCCACTACCCTTTCCTGATAAACACTCAAATCACCTTAACCCATTGGTGTATTTCATTCTAGTGTTCGCATCTATATGTGTAAAATATATATACATTGATAATATTCTTTTTTTTCTGCCTTTCTTAGTAATTCATTCTGAACACTTTTCATGCTATTAATACACTTGTACAGTATCATGATTCATGAACATATAGTATTTTACTATGTCTCTATATGTCATAATTTATTTGACCAATTACATTATATTAAAAAATAATAGTATTTGTTGTTGTAGTAAAATAACACTTGCAATATGTTAACATACATTATATTAATGCATAACATAGCTTTGTATAATATACTATAAAAATTAAATTGGCACAAGGAAAATGGGACATACTTTCCAGGATTTTGGCATACATGATCACAGAAATTCACACCAATTTATAATCACGTCAATAGTGCATGTCTGAAATATAGGATAGGGATTCTAATTCTCAGAGAGTTTTATTTTAAATTTATAATACACACTTGTAAAGGATTAGCCTTGACCTCTTAATTATTATAAAGAGAGTTTTTAGAATTAAAAGTCTTCATATAACAGCACACTTTTTAATTAATGGTCACATCCTTTTAAATAAAAGAGACAAAGTTAAATATTAGCTGTCAATTCCCCCCCAGACATTCACAATTTAGCACTACTTGTTAATAGTTCTCCATTTCTGAGGTTACAGCTCTGGCAACTTCTTCACCTTTTTTGGATTCTTATGTCTTCAGTAACAATAGTGCTCTAATAAATTGAACGCAGTCATAGTTAATAATTCTGAATCTGTAAAGTCAGTTTCCCATTTCTGTTTTTATAGTGGACAAAAAAGGAAAAAAGAATTTTTTTAAAGAGTGAAATAGTTTCATCCCAATGGACAAAGAAAAAGGCTTGATGTTAAAGGCTATTGGTGCTGATACATTCATGCCAGATTAAGGTAAGAAAGTCCTCTTCTTGTGTAAGTTTTTAATTCAATAAACAGTTTCTGGATGTCTATTATTTATTTATTTATTTATTTATTTATTTTAATCTGACCAGAGAAGGACAGAGAGAGAAAGAGAGAGAGAGCGAGAAAGTGAGAAAGCAAGTTTTCAGATCTGGGACTCAAACCATAGTAGGCCATGTGGAAGTCCAGCGTCCTTAGCCACCACGCCACCTGCCAGCCCTCTGGATGTCTATTAGAGCCTGTGTCAAGCTCTGGAATTTTCAGGTGGAGAATATGTAATCTGAAAATCCAAAATCTGAAATGTTCCAAAATCTGAAACATTTTGTGCACCTATACGATGCCGCAGTGGCTAATTCTATATCTGATTTTGTGTGATGGGTTGTAGTCAAACAAAATGTTGTATAAAATTACTTTCAGATTATGTGCATAAAGTGCATATGAAAAAAAAATAAATTTTGTGTTTAGATTTGGGTCCCATCTTTAAGATATCTCATTATATATATGCAAATAGGACAAAACCCCCCCAAAAATATTGAAATTCAAAACACATCTGATCCTCAGCATTTCAGGTAAGGAATAGTCAACCTGTAATTAAAATATTTTAATGAAGAAAATAATTTAGTCCCCTAAATTTCCTTTATTTTTAACTTTATAACATTTGTGAAATACTGTAAACTACCCAGAACAGACGTTACCTATATATGAAAGCTCAGATCCTAACATTCTACACACACTTAGATCACAACAAAGCATTTTTAAAGGAAATATACAGTGAAAGAGTGAGCTTCTGGAGTGACATAAACATTGTATAGAAATGGATTTTCCAAATTGTATGCCAAGGTACCCTGAAGCACTGCAGCAAACTATGGGATATTTGGAATTCTTGAGGGAATCACAGTATCACTTGTCAGACACCACCCAAACCCTTAAGTTGTTGGACCTACTTATTATTAGGAATCTCTTTGGGATTTAAAAGGCACCATGACAAATAACTTAGACACAAAAGTATCCTAAACTGAGAAAGTTTGGAACCTTAGGTTTAAAATCTCAGGTGTGGAGTAGGACCAAGGTAGAGAGATGCTAATCTTGAGAAATTTATGTTTTAATGTATGAGACACATGTGTGCAGTAAAGGATTAACCTTGGCCTACAGCTCCTAGGCGATCACCTCTAAGCCTTTGGAATGCCTTGCCAGATGAGTGCCTTTGTTTACCTGGAGTCCTAGGGCCATATCACGTAGTCTGTGCTAGCAATTTGATTATGGTATAGGCCTTGAATTGTATGGTAGCAGCTTGACCTCTGGAGGCCCTAGAAACTAAAGTCAGTAATGTGTGTGTTCAGTCATGCCCACATTGCTGAACCCCCCAAAAACACCTGGACGCCGAGTCTTGGGTAAGCTTCCTGGTTATCAACAATTCGTGCATGTTGTCACACATCATTACTGGGAGAAATAAGCATTGTCTATACAATTCCACTGGACAAGAATGACTGGCGACTCTGTACCTGGTCTCTCCTGTTCTATGTACCATTCCCTGTTGTTGATTTTAATTTGTGTCCTTTCCCTTTAATAAATTCTAACTGTGAGACCAGCTGATGGCATAATAGTTACACTGCTGGAGTCCCACGTAGTCTTCTGTGGTTCCAGTCTGGGACCTCACTAAAACTTACGTCAGGTGTGTGTGTGTGTGTGTGTGTATGTGTGTGTGTGTGCTCGTATGCACGCACGCACACAAACCCAAGTTCCTAAGAGGAGAATGGAGGAGAGGGTGTTGGTACATGGCCATACCCTCTGGGGAGTGATTTCTTGCTTTCTGTCTCTCTGTCTCTGTTTGTCTCTCTGGCAAGGACACTTGCCCTATAGTAAAAATCTCTCTTTAATAAATAAATGAGTTATAACTGTGAGTAAACTGCTTTGTGGATTATTTTGACTCCTAGAAAATTGCTGAAGCTGAGGATAATCTTGGGAACCTCCTGAACTACAACACTACAAAAATGAAGTGCATTAATTTGTATGGGATTTTATTTTCCTTGTTCTCCTCAGCAGAAGGGTATCATTCAGAAAGTATGGCATCTACTAATTTAAAAATATGACAAATTTAATATGAAAAGAGAATAAGAGAAAATGCATTACCTGTTCTTGTCACACAAGAGAGATGATGTTCTCAAATAAAATAGGTAAGAAACTGGCCATTTTGATTTACGGCTACTTGAAATTGGTGTTAACATTTTGCTTGACAAAAATCGAGCGTAAGGATTGAATGATTCTGAAACTTCCTAAGCTGACAATTTAAACCATTCAATATATTTATTTTAAAATTATGGCAAATAATTTTATCTATGTCTCAACACACTGCTACCGAGTTAGAAATGGAGAACCCAGCTGCTTTTGAGGGATCTTAAATACCACAAGCTGTTTCTCAAACATTGTGGGATCAATAAAGCTCAAAATGTTTTCTCAATTACTTTTATAAAATTTCTCAACATACAAGTATCTTAAAAAGATTTTTATTCCCATATTCCCAACTCTTTTACATTTTGTTTCCTTCTTATCTACATGAAACTTAGAATGATTGATCCATAATTTTTATAGGAAAAGTGCCAGGGTAGGCAAATGAGTATCTGTATCCTAGTCTTATTTTGCATTAATTTTCTATTCAATTGCACTCTCTCGGGCCTCAGTTTTCAGTTCTATAAAATATTCAGATTAAACTGTATTTCTCTAAGATTCATTTCAGTATAAAACTATCATTTTCACTAAACCAATATGTATTACTCCCTACTTTGTATACATTTTGTGATATACACAGGGCTTATAAATGGTGAATATAACTTAAGCTAATCCCCAAGAAACTTTAATGGAGAAAACAGGCCCCTAACTGTAATATTACACAACTTTTGGTGGATGTAAACTCAGGACTATGGGAGTTGCAATGTAGGGTGATTTTTGTTAGGTGGGTCATAGAAAGTTTCATGGAGGATGTGGAAAGTGAATAAATTTTTAAAAATGGAGAAGGTGGCAGAGGCATTAAGTGTTTTAGGAGGGGGAGCATATAAATAAACACATGATGGCAGAACATATGGGATACATTTGAATGGCAGCTAATGGTTCTGATGTCTGATAATACATAACTTGTGAAGAGAGGACAAGAGATGAGGCAGGAAAGAGAAGCTGACATAAAGTTGTTTACAGACTTCATGCAGGATAGTTTCATATGCACTTCTAGATCTTATTTCATTTGTCTCCCCTCTTAACTCCGAGAGCCTGACCCGTAGGGGTACACATTAATGACTTCAGTTACTCTCCATCTTCTGCTAAACCATTGGAAGTCACGGGCAGGTGATCAGAGGGTTTAGTGTGTTTACTTTTCCAGCTCTCAATCTGCCAGGTCCCTGAATACTGTCTCTACCCCCTGTTGAAGGCCTTAAGTGCTAGTATCTGTATGTTCTGAAAGTTTCTCCTTTTGGCCAATGGGAAATGTATTCATATCCTAGGCCTGCTGTCACAAAGTGTCATAAACTGGATGCTATAAAACAAATGTATTATCTCATAGCTCTGGACCTTAGAAATCTGACATCAAAGTGTTGGTAGAGCCACGCTCCCTGTGATACCTATAGGAAAGAATTCTTTTTTGCTTAGCTTTTGCTGTTTGCCAGCAGTCCTTGGTGTTCCTTGGTTTGTAGACACATTACTTTATTTTTTATTCTCTGCCTCTATTGTCATATGGCCATCTTCTCTTGTGTTTCTATCTGTATGTCTCTTCACCTCTTTTTATGAGTATACTACTCATATTGGATCAAGAGTCCACCCTACTGTCATATGACTTAATCTGAACTAATGACCCTATTTCCAAATATGATCACTTTCTGAAGTACTTGGGGTTAGGACTTCACATAATTTTTGAGGAACACAGTTCAACTCATGCCAGAAAATAGAAGCTCCCCACAGTTGCTAATTCTACAGTACCTCACAACCTTATTCCAGGCCTCAACTCCATCTAATCTTTGTCATTGTCCCCATTTGAAGTGCTCCTAAATTATGCAGGTTGTCCATACCATCTGTTATCTTCAGAGATTCTATGTAGTTTTGCTTGCCTTGAAAATGATCTGACCAGGTGTTTTCTTGTTTTGTTTTGTTTTATATTGTAGGATAGTTTTTGAAGAAGAGTGGATGATCAGTCCTAGGTTTCAGAAAAATAGATACTGTGGCAAAGCAAAATATGCATGAAAGGAAGGAGATTTAGGAGGTAAGACAGAGGAAGTAGCCTATTGTTATATTGTGTTGCTACTCTGAGCCATGATGTGGGTCTAAAATGGGAAGTGACACCAATGGCTTCCTGTATCCTAGAGTAAAATCCATTCTTCTTTCAGGTCTTTCATATGGTGCCCCATTTCCCTGATTCCCCTTCACTCTCTCTCCATTTCCCTTCAGTCATTCCACAGACATTCACTCATCCCTTGATCTGCCCCAAAGATCTGAATCATGCTCTCAGCGGAGCCTCTTGATTTGCATTCTCTCTTCCTGGAGTGCTCTTGATCCTTGTGGCGTGTACTGATCTCCCATCCCCACCACCCCACAACCACACACACACACACGCATGCACACACACAAATACACATGTATCTTCATGTCTCTGTTCAAAATACCCTTTTGTCATAGAGACCTTCCTTAAACAACCTAAATAAAATAACACTGTCATCCTGCAACACCTTATTTCCAGGCACCTCTATCCCTCTCCTCCATTTTATTTTTCCACATAGTACTCGCCCAACTGAAAGAATATGTATTTATTTCTTTATTGATTTTCTACTCCCTCTTTGATATTAACCTTCATGACACTAGGAACATTTTCTCTTTGTCTGTTATTATGTCTCCAGTTGACAGAACTGTACCTGACACTTGGTAGGTGCTCAGTAAACACCTATTAAGTGGTAGTCACCAGTAGAGCTAGAATCTGTAGGATATGGTGATAGATGCAATATAATGAGAAGAGTGACAGAGAAGAAATAAAATATGACTCCAATGTTTTTTGTTGTTCTTTTGTTTCCTCTTGGGTAAATCTGATTTCATGTAAGTAATTCTTAAGCCTTTCTTTTTTAAAAAATAATTATTTAATTTAATTTATTTAATTTATTTTTATTTGAGCAGAGAGGGACAGAGTGAGAAAGGGAGTGAGAGAGGGAAAGGGAAAGTGAGAAAGCAAGTCACCAGGTCCAGGATTCAACCCATGGCCAGCCATGTGGGAGTTCAGCTCCTTTAACCACCACACCACTTTCTGGCCCCTTTATGCCTTTCTTACAAAATACATAACATTTTTCTAACCCCATTTATTTTTCCATTTTCCATTGGAAAAGTAGTTTCTTGCATCTCCAATGTTATTTTAAAAGTCCCAATGTTCATCAGAGAAATCAGCAATTCCTGTGAAAAATGTGAGTAGGTCATGACTCATAAACACATTTGTAAGATTGTACTTCTAATTTGTGTTCTGTTATATTATCAGAGTCTACCGGTACTATTCTGCCTGTGGGTTGTGGTTGGGTTCTATAGCTGATTCTTACTTTCTCTTAACTTTATATAACAGTCTTATTATGTCCGTGCTTCATCAGTTGACTCAGTGCTTCTTGCTTTTCATCAAATAGTTAAATTGGAGAATTAGTCAGTGTGTTTAACATGGTTATCAAGCTTATTCTGTGATGCATGATGTGTTATTTAATTATTTGCTTCCAGTGTTAGAGGTGACTAAGAGACTTCATGAAATTACAGTTCCACAGTACTCTATAGCACAGGCTTTCCTACATCTACAAAACCGGCCAGCATGGTGCTAGAGTTTTTCAAAATGGCTCTGTACATGAAATCTGACAGGCTGACGGAGACATGAGCTGCTGATTTCTAATTGCCATAGTGAGTCATGGACCTGCAAGACCACTTAGTCCCTTGCCAAGAGACTATGCTATCATTTTAAAAATAATCTTTTTGAATTTATAGAAAAATATAATTTTAATGTTAATGATAAATAACTGTCAATGACCTTGAATCAAACAAGACTTGATTCTTGAGAAAACTAGCATTTTTATTTCTTCCAGAAAATATCATAATAAAGTATTTAAGGGAACCAGCAGTTAGTGTAATGGCTATGTCGCTGGATTCCCACGTAGTCGACCGCGGTTCGTGTCCCGGACCCGGTGGCTTAAAACTCACGCCGGGCGCGTGTGCATGCATGCCCAAGATCCCGAGAGGAGAATGGAGGAGAAGGGATTGCGGCTGACCATCCCCCCTGGGGGGTGATTTCTCGCTTTCTGTCTCTATGTCTCTCTCTGTCTGTCTGGCGAGCGCACGCGCCCTACAGTGAAAATCTCTCCAAAAAAATTTTAAAAATAAAAAAAAATAAAGTATTTAAAATACAGATATAGTTCCTATATTTTTAATGTTCTTAAAAAGGCCATAATAAAGACCAGTAGTTGGTGTAATGGCTATGTCGCCGGACTCTCATGTAGTCGACCGCAGTTCAAGTCCTAGATCCAGTGGCTTAAACTCACGCCGGGCACATGTGCGTGCATACCCAAGATCCTGAGAGGAGAATCGAGGAAAAGGGATTGTGGCATGGCCATCCCCCCCTGGGGAGTGATTTCTCACTTTCTATCTCTGTCTCTCTCTGTCTTTCTGGCGAGTGCATGCACCCTATAGCAAAAAACACCTCTCAAAAAAAATAAATAAATAATAGAAAAATTATGAAGACTCACAATATATGGTCATTTATTATTTTATTTACAATATTAATTTGAAAGAATAGGAAATGCCATTGTTTGCTAAAATGTTGCATGTTAAAAATAAAATTACGGGGACCAGAAGTTGGCGTAATAGCTATGTTGCTAGACTTTCATGTAGTGGACCGAGGTTGAAGTCCCGGACCCATTGACTTAAACTCACTCCAGATGCATGTGTGTGTGTGTGCCCAAGGTCCTGAGAGGAGAATGGAGGAGAAGGGATTGTGGCATGGCCATCCCACCTGGGGGGTGATTTCTCACTTTCTGTCTCTCTGTCTCTTTCTTTCTTTCAGGGGAGTGCATGTGCTCTATAGCAAAAACATCTCTAAAAAAATAAATAAATTATGATAAAGTCAAATTATGTCATATTTCTGGCTAGAGATGATTAAGACTATTAATTTTTTTTTATAATTCCATAGTGACCACATTCTTTTTTCTAAGGTTGGCTTTAGAAAAATATTGTGAAATCAGGCTAGCTAGGTGGAGTAATGGTTATTTTGCCGGACTCCCATGTAGTAGATCACAGTTCGACTCCTAGACTCAGCAGATTAAAACCCACATATGTGTGTGTCCCCAGGATCCTGAGAGAATGGAAAAGAAGGGATTGCAGCGTGGACACCCCCCCGAAGTGATTTCTTGCTTTCTGTCTCTCTATTTCTTTAGTGAGCACACACACCCTATAGCAAAAATCTCTCAAAAAAAGAAAAATGTTCTGCAATAAATAATATGTGTCTGTGTTTATTCCACCTTATCTTGCTCATTGTATTAAGTCTGAGGCTTCATGCTTCTACAAGGAAAATAATGTTTCACATCACATTAATCTGGTAAGACTTAGATTTTTCCTACATAATTCCCTCTATTACAACTTACCTTACCGGGGCTGTCAGGTGGCATGATGGTTAGGGTAACTGGATTCCCAAATGGCTGACTGCAGTTCAAGTTCTGGACCTGGCAGCTTGCTTTCTCATTTTCCTCTGTGTGTGTGTGTCTCTCTCTCTGGTCAACTTTAAAAAAATAAAATAGTGGCAATGGTTAAAATTTTTTAAAAAATATTTACCTACATTCCAATTCCCCAGGCCTTTTTAATGCACTTTAAATGACAATGGGTAATTATTACCAACAATAATAATATCACACATGGGCCAACAGGTGGTATGGAGGTTAAGGCTATGTGCATCCCACATGGCCAACTTTGCACTTCAAGTGCTGAATCCAGGGGATTGAGAAACACACCAGGCACAGGTGCATGTGTGCCCAAAATCCCAAAAGGAGAGTGGGGGAAAAGGGGTTGCAGCCTGATCATCCCCAGAGGTGGGAGTTGGGGATCTCTCACTTCCCGCCCCACCTCTCTGTCTCTCTCTGGCTAGTGCACATGCCATATAGCAAAAACTAAAAATAATAATAATGATATATTACATGTTAATAGTATAATTTGCAAAGTGTTTTTATATGCACTATCTCATCTAATTCTTTAATAATATTAGATAGTAAGAATGTCTAATAATAAGATGTGGGTATACTGTAGTATACCACCAGTTTTTGTGTAGCCCTCTAGATAAGAGAATGGTTTTTACATGTTTCAGGGCCATTTACATGTTTCAGGGTCTACCACCAGTTTTTGTACAGCCCTCAAGATAAGAGAATGGTTTATATATGTTAAAGGGGGTCACACACACACACACACAAACACACAAACACAGATTACACAACAGACTGTTTTGTGCAAAATATTTACTATTTATTTTTTATAGGTAAAATTTCCCTACTTTTGGGTTAGTATTCTAGTTTTCATTAAAAGATAAATAAACCCAGACCAGCTGTAGCATGGTGATTGAAGCAACTGGGTCCTACCTGGCCAACTGCACAGTGTGAGTCCAAGACTCAGAGAAAAATGCCAGGTGCATATGCATGCATGCACAAAATACCAAAAGGTGAGAGAAATGGAAGATAAGGGATTGCTGTAAGATCATGTTTTTCGAAGTACGGTGCTTTCTCATTTCTTCCCCTCCACAAGTGTGCACACCCTCTGGCAAAAAAAAAAAAAAAAGGGGGAGTAGAGAGAGTCAAAGCTAGGTGAAGATATAGATGCGTTTAATTTAAGTACATTTTAGAACAAGAAAAAATAAAAGATTTCCAAATACTATAAAAGTATTATTTTTCCTTGGTCTCTCCAAATTCTGAGAAGTTGAACAATTAATAATAATAAGAAGAATAACGGATGAAAATGAAAATCAATTATTAGATACTATGTACTGAGCTTTCTAGGACGTGCTTTTGCATATATTATTTACTGTAACACTCAGTGTATACCAGTATTGTCCTGTGTATACCAATTATTTAAGAAGTAACTGTGATTCTTAGTACTATTGAGTAATGTGACCCTAAATATACTCAGCAGAAAGAGTTAGTAATATGTAGTGGCATATCACAGAAGTAAAGTCCCTAGGATATGCTCCAAATAGCTGTTACTGCATATGCAACATCAGAAAACTTTGGCTAATTATGGTATGTGCTATGTTTAAATTACATAATCATTTCACATTCAATTTATTATCTGTAAAATGTTAGTGTATACTTGGATCACTTGAATTAATTCTATCTCTGATGGCATTATGTCTGTGAAATACCAACACTAGCTAAACTACATTCATCCTTCTAGGTCCAAGATATCCCGCTATAATAAAATAGTGCAAGGGAGTTGGATCATGACTTTGTCTCTCCTAAAAGCTATGACAGTAAACTTGCATCCTATTTAATAGAAGGTAAAACTTTTCTAAATATTGGTCATTGGGAATGTCATGACACATTTTTGCCTAGAAAAACAGAAAAAATATGTCATGATTTTTCCAGTGACCCAATACATGTTTATTTTTCTTGACATTTAAGACTATTGCTAAATTTTTTCTCCAACAGACTTAACAGTTCTTCAGGTTTTTAAAATTTCAATAACTGGGGACCAGCAGTTGGTGTAATGGCTATGTCACTGGACTCCTATGTAGTTGACCATGGTTCGAGTCCCAGACCTGGTGGCTTAAACTCATGCTGGGCGTGTTTGTGTACATGACCAAGATCCCAAGAAGAGTATGGAAGAGAAGGGATTGCAGAGTGGCCACCCCCTTGGGGGATGATTTCTTGCTTTCTGTCTCTCTCTGTCTTTCTGGCGAGTACACATACCCTATAGCAAAAACCTCTCAAAAAAAATTTAATAACTGACTACCAGGTTCAGCTCAGGCCATGTAAGCTCCTCATACATTAACCCTGCATTATATAACAGTTATAAGCTCTGAATCAGAAACAAAAATAGGCCTAGTCATAGTGGTACAGTAGTGGCATACTCATCTTCAGCGCTTGAAGCCACATGGCTGCCATGGGTTCAGATCCCAAGTTGACTTGAAACATGCTGGGTGTGTGCACACCTAAGATCCTGACTGGCTGAAAAGCTAGAGAAAGTGGATTGAAACATGACAAGATCCTATCAGAGTGCTTGTCTTTCTCTTGTTCATATACTCTCCATTGCACTATCTTTCTTCCATGAGGGAAATAAACATAAAACAAAACAAAAATAAAAAAACACAAAAACAACGCACACATGCACACAGGCTAGCTACTTGAAAGCTCTGGAGAGTATAAAAGCAAACAGATCTGGAAGCAAATTGACACTTGAAAAAAAGTAACTGGTTTAAAACAAGTCTTCTGTTTATATGGCTTTAATTGGAGAATAGGCCATGGTCTATGTTACACAAGGTGGCAGAATTCCTGATAGAAAATTTAGAGTTGAATGACCAGAAATAAGAGTTTAGGGCCACCTCAGCTGTCAAAATGTAAAAGAGACCAGCAGGGCAAGCCACAAACTCATTAATTCTGCCCAAATCACTAACTTATCCTGAATCACACACACACGGAGCACAGTGGAAGCACCTTAGCTAACAGTAAAATAATTCAAATAAGATAAAAGTTGCTACAAAGAGAAAGCATTTGTAGTTTGAATCCAACCAAGAAAATAGTTTGTTAATGTAAAAAAAAGGAAAAGAACTTAAAGAAAAATTAAAAAGTTGAGAGTTTCTGCAGTGTATTATTTCCAACATCTAAGAAACAATCCCAAATTACTTGACACAAACAACAAGAAAAATGTGACCATTTCTCAGAAGATGAAATAATCAACAAAAGCAATCACAAGATAATCTAGATGTTAAAATTAGCAAACAAGGACATTGAAGGAGATATTGTAATTACATTCAAATAGATAAAGAAAAATCTTCTCATTATTAATGTTTTTTTAAACCTCAGAAAATTACAGATACTATGTAACAGAATTAAATGAAAATTCTTATGGAAAAACATAGTGTGCAAAATTTTAAAATTTATTGTGTGTGCATGATAGCAGAATTGAAATGACAGGAATGAGTTAGAAAAACTTGAAGATAGATTTACATAAATTATTTAATCTGAAAAAAGTTTATTAAAAGAAGTATTTTATTTTTCTTTCTTTATTTATTTTAATTTGACCAGTGAGGGACAGAGAGAGAGGGGAGAGAGAGAAAGCAAGCTGTCAGGTCTGGGACTCTAACCATTGTTGACCATCCAGCACCCTTAACCACCATGCCACCTGCTGGCCCCCCAAAGAGGTTTTATTTATTTTTTTAATGATAAAAGACTCAGGTACATATGGGACAATAGTAAAATTATCTGATATGCAAGCGATTGGGTTTTCAGAAGAAGAAGAGGGAGACTAGAGTGAAAAAATATTCAAAAGAATGATATTCAAAAACATTCCTAACTTAGTAATCAAGGATTTTAATAAAACTCAAGGAAGATAAATATTAAAAAAAAGTCAACCTCTGCTTATTATATCTAAATTACTAAAAAAATTAAAAATGTGACTTTTTTTAAACAAAGAAAACTAATGACACATCATATAGAAGAGAACACTTCTGGGACCAGGAGATGGTGTAATGGCTATTTTGCTGGACTCCCATGAAATTGACCATGATTCGAGTCCCAGACCTGGTGACTTAAACTCACGCCAGTGCATGTGCATGTGTGCCCAAGATCCTGAAAAGATAATGGAGAAGGGATTTAGCATGGCCAATCCCTGTGGGGTGATTTTTGCTTTCTGTCTCTCTGTCTGTCTCTGTGTTTCTGGCGAATGCACATAGCCTATAGCAAAAACCTCTCAAAAGAAAGAAAGAAAGAAAGAAAGAAAGAAAGAAAGAAAGAAAGAAAGAAAGAAAGAAAGAAAGAAAGAAAGAAAGAAAGAAAAACATACTACTTTAGGTGATTACTGTCTTTTTAAACTGTAGAAGTCAAAATATCCTGGAAAGACCTCTTTAAAGTGTTAAAATAACAACACAAAACTTAGAAAGGCAATAAAAATATCCTTCAAGAACAAGGATGAAATGTATTTCAGACTTTAAAAAAAGAGAGAGCAATAATCATCAAGAAGACTACCTATACTGTAAAAAGTGCTAAAGAAAAATTCTGTAGGCTGGAGAGAAATGATACCAGGAAGAAATCCTTATCCTCATGAAGAAATTAAGAGATCAAGAAATATAATTCAATATTATATACTTTACATATAATTTTTTAAAATTTTAAGTTCTTTAAAGTACATATGAGCATTTAAAGCAAAAATTATAAAATTGCTTACTGGGAAATAACATTTATTCTGAAAATATTCTCTTCTTTTTTCAGTTTTATAATGTACTATCTTACAAGGAAAGGGTGTCCATTTTCACCATCTCTAATCAACATTATATTGGAGGTCCTGGCCAGTGTACCAAGAGGAAAAAAAAAAAAGTGACATTAGGAGAAAAGAAGAAATTAGCCTTTTGGTTGTTGTGTTGTTTTTGTTTTCAGATGTTTTAATTATGTAGAAAGAAAACCCTGCAAAATTTTCTAAAAAGATTTTTAGAAAGAGCATTTTTAGCAACATCATAAGATACATGGTTAATATGCAAAACTTTATTGTATTTTTATGTATTAGCAGTAACCAATTAAAAGTAAAATTGAAAGTCATTTTATAATAGAGTCAAAAACATAATGCATACGATAGTACATTTAGCAAAAGATGTCAAATATAATTACATTAAAAATTATAAAATATTGCTGAGAAACATCAATGAAGATCTAAATAAATGGAGAGATATACCACGTTCATGGACTAGAAGACTCATCATAGTTAAGATATCAGCTATCTTCAGTAGATATATAGATTTCACACACTATCAATTGTAATAACCTCAAAGACTTTTGTTTTGGGTAAGTGTTGACTAGTTGATTAAAAAAATTTATATGGTCTGTAGAAGAAACTTTATGTTAATATCCAAATAAATTTTTTAAACTTAAAAAAAATATATGGAGCTACAAAGAACCTGAATATCCAAAGAAGTTTCAGATGGAGCTACAAAGAACCTGAATATCCAAAGAAGTTTCAGAAAAGTATAACAAAGTTGAAGAACACTTGTTACCTGATGTAATCAATTATAAATCTATACCAATCAAACATTGAGCTACTGGCATAAGATTGAACAAATAGAGAAATGAAACAGAATAAATAAGCTACATATAAACACATGCCTTATACAGTCTTTTTATCTCCAAGAAAAATCTCTAAACAATATGATAAATGGTAATTGGATATGTATATTTAAACATATGAAACTTGATGCGTATGATTTACATCGTGTATAATAATTAATTTGAAATGTCTTTTAGGCCCAAATGTAAAAGCCTTAGTCATTGAGACTTTAAGGAAACTAAGAAATTATTTTCGTTTCTTAGGGAAAAGCAAATGTTTCTTCTATTACGGTAAGCAATAAGCATAAAAAAAAAAAAAGTAAATCAAGTTTAAAAGCTACTTAACAGAAAACACATGAACTACCAAGTTGAAATCTGTTTTTAAGATAGAGGGAATAAAAAGGAAAGTGAGAAATCACCCCCCAAAAAGATAGCCATACAATAATTCTCTTACGCTAGTCTCTTGAGATTTGGGACACACATGCCCACACACTGGTGCAATTCTCAAGCCACAAGTCTGGACTCAAACTGCACTGTTGGCCACATGGAATCAGTGCCACAATTCCCACACCACTTGCTGCCCTGGGAGAAAATATTTTAAAAATATATATCTGCAGGTCCAGCAGGAGACATGGTGGTTAAGAAACTGGATCCTACAAGACTGACTCTGTGATTTGAATCCCAGATCAAGCAGCTTTAAAAAAAGCACTGGGAACATGGGCACACATGCCCAAATCTCAAGAGAAGAATGGAGAAGGAAGGATTGTGATGTCATCTACCCTTCTAGGGGTGATTTCTCATTTTCATCCTCTCTCTGTCTCTATCTGTCTTTGCTCAGTGAGCACGCATGCCCTATGGCAAAAACAAAACAAAACAAAAAATTAAATAAACCAAAAAACCCAAACTAAAGAAAACCAAAAAACACAGATCTGATAACAAAAATGTGTCTCTGGGTTATACAAATAATTCCTATGACTCAGTATTAAAACAAACAAAACAAAACAAAACAAAAACAAAAACCAGACTTTCAGCAAGACAATTGACTATAGTACTTAACGTGCCTTCTTCCCACAAAAGAGGACCAAAACAAAGATTAAGCAGCTGATAATCAGCTGGAGCATTTGAGGAAAAACAACGTAGTGCACCAGGGATGTGGTGATGATATAGAGCAGAGATGCAGGATGGTCTTGTAGAAAGGGGTGCAAATCATTCTCCATTTGCTGGCCTGTATCTACAGTTGAGATTAGCTTGGAACCAGAAGGAACTTTGGTGAGAGGAAAGATATAAGCATGAGCCCCATGAATACCTCACATATCTGAAATCATTACTAAGGGAAATCTTTAACTTTCACAGGCCCTGAGCCCAGTTGGGGAGGTAACTGAGGCATCCACACCACTGAATTACGAGAGGAGGTTTCTAGTCACATTGTACCCTAGCTACAGCTATACAAAGCTGTCTTGTGACTACACCCACCCACATCCTGAAGGAGCAGCCAGATGAGCCCTACCCTGTGCTGAGAGCCACTGGGGCAGCCTTATTCTTCCTTGTTTCTCACACACTCTTGTGTCTCATAGGGACAGCCAGGCCAGTGACTCTCTCATAGTCAAGCCACTGGAGAATGCATGCTCCTTCCTATATCTTTCAGGAGAAGACACACAACACATTGAGTAGTCCTGATACCGTGCATTCTGTGGGTCTAGCCAGGCAAGAAACCCTGGCCACAGCTGGAGTGCTATATCAGGAGCTGAAGGAACAACCTCATTCACCTTCTGCCTATAGAAACAGCTGGGCAGACAATTCCCTGCCAATTGCCATATCCAGAAGCACTGGAATAACACTGCTTACCCACAAATGCACTCTGCTTTTAGGCAGCTGTGTCCCAACCAGCAGCTCAGCTACACAGATCCCCATCTGAGGCCGCTGAGGCACTCGCAGGCATCACTGATGCTTATTACAACTAAAGAAACCACACAAAGACCACCCTACCACATCCACCTGCATCTTACTGAACTGGCATCCTACAACAAATCTACAGAAGAGGGTATTTCACCACAAAAATCATCCTGTACAGTTGCTAGAAACAACTGTTTCGTCAAACACCAATTAAATGACACAAGGGCACAGTAAGGTGATTCTCTCAAAGGAATACAAAAATTCTCCAGCAATAGAGCCCAAAAGATAGAAATCAATAAAATGCCTGACAATAATTCAAAATAATGACTATGCAAAAGACTCAGTGAGATATAAGAGAATACAAATAGACAACAAAAACAGGAACATAATATATGATCTGAATGAGAAATTAAACAAAAAATTTCTTTTTTATAAAAAGAAATATAATAAAAAAGAGCCAAAGACCTGAATAATACAAAGCAAAATAAATAAATAAAATCCAGAGCTTCAATTTCAACAAAAAAATTGATCAAACAGAATATATAATTTCTAAACTTGAAGACAGTTTTTGTTTTGTTTTGTTTTTACCATAAGGTGCATACACTTGCTAGAGAGAGAGAGAGAGAGAGAGAGAGAGAGAGAGAGAGACAAAGGGAGGGAAAGTGAGAAATCATCTCTCAATGAGGATGGCCATGCTACAATTCCTTCTCCTCTACTCTCCTTTTGAGATTTTGGACATACATACACATGTGCCCTGCAAGATTTTCAAGTCAGCAGGTCCAGGGCTCATACAGCAGTCAGCCAAGTGGGAGTCCAGCACCTTAACCACCATGCTACCTGCTGGCCCTCAACATAGTTCTTCTAAAATAATTTAGTTAGACACAAAAAGAAAGAAGAAAACCCACTAGACCCATAAGACACCATCAAGCAGGAAATAAATATTCACATTATGGAAGTTTCAGAAGGAGAAAAGATAAAAGGTGTGGAAAAGCTATTTTTGGGACCAGCAGATGGCGTAGTGGTTATGTTGCTTGACTCCCATGTAGTCGACTACAGTTTGAATCCTGGATCCCGTGACTTAAAACTCACACCAGGCATGTGTGTGTGCACATGCCCAAAATCCCCAGAGGAGACTGGAGGAGAAGAGATTGCAGCATGGCCATCCACTCTGGGGAGTGATTTCTCGCTTTCTGTTTCTCTTTCTTTTTCTGTCTCTTCTGTGAGTGCATATGCCCTATAGCAAAGATCTCTTTTTTTAAAAAAAGGAAAGAAAAAATAAAGAAAGAAAAAAGAAAAACTATTTCATGATATAACAGCTGAAAACATCCCAGTCTGAGAGAGACATAAACAGAGAGATTCAGGAAGTTCAAAAGTCCTCAAATAGATTCAACTAAGAAAAAAAAAATCCTCTGTAAGGTACATTACAATCAAAATGTCAATAGACAAAGATAAGGAGAGGATGCTAAAACATCATTAGAAAAGTGTTAAGTCACATATCAGAGAAAATCTGTTAGACTAAAAGTAGATTTCTCAGTAGAAACTTTATAGGTCAGAAAAGAATGGGATAATATATTCAAAGGGCAGAAAGAAAACAACCACCAGGCCCAGACTTGGTGGCACAGGTGGCAGTACACAGAACTACAGTGCTGGAAGCCACGTGGCTAACTGCAGGTTGGATACTGAAAACAATGGATGGGAGCCCAAGTTCCTGACAAGGTGAAGGGATAGGGGATGAGGATACTAGCATGATGAGATGATGCCCACTCCTAACGCCCCCTCTCGTGTGTGTGTGCTCTCTCTCATGAATAAAATAAATAAAGTTTAAAAAAAGGGGAAAAAAATCTGTTGCTTAACCAAAAGCAAGCCAGAGTTGCTATACTTATATAAAATAGACTTTAAATCACAACTGCAAAGAGACAAAGAGGTCATTTTATAATGATAAAGGAATTAATTCAGTAAGAAAATATAAGAGTAGTAAATATATATATACTGAACACCAAAGCACCAAATTATATAAAGCAATTATTATTAGCTCTAAAAGATGGATTCCAATATGAAAATAGACTAAATGGACATAACGAGACATATACAGAACATTTCATTCAACAGCTGCAGAACATACATTTTTCTTGTCAGCTCATAGAACATTTTCTAGGACAGACCATAATGATAAACAAGAAAACAAGTCAAGCATTTCAAAGAACTATACAGATATCAAGAATTTACTTTGAATTGTATCAAAAACATAAGATGGATTAATGGATAAAAAGATGGGCAGATATTTAGATATATGATAAAATAAGCATAATGAAATGTTAATGGTAGACTCTGAGTGGTGAGTATATGAGTCTTTATTATAATACTGTTGATTTTTCACTATGTCTGAAAATTTCATAATTAAATATTAGAAAAAATGAAAACCAGAAATTATGTTAGGTGAATGACCAAGTTCCTAAAATTTTTGGTGTTTACTATATATTCTTTAATATTTTCTCTGTGTCTTAAAATTTTCATGATAAAATGTTGGAAAAAAACCCAAATCAGAAATTAAGTTGTAAGTATGACAAAATTTCATCTTATTTAAATTTTTTTGTTGAGTTTCCTTAAGGGCAATTTTAGGAAACCTCTTCATGAGAGGGGCTTGGGTCAGGATTCAGGAGAAGATGAATAACAGACACAAGAGTGCATGTAAGCAAGTGGGGTAGATTATGGAAGAGTATGTCATGGCAGAGTAAAAAAATGTCACAAACAATTCCTTACATACCTTTGAAACAAAAACAAAAAATGAGTAGAATGACTATCAAATGTGCATGACATATGTAATGTTAAATGTTGAAGACAAAGAATATACATAGATCCTTTGATTTTTCTACACATGCTTTAAAAAACCATGCTGGACCCCCACAGAGATGTATAATGATTATATGTAAATTTCAATTTTAAAATTTGAAATTTTCAAAATTAAATTAAATTTTAAAAATTTATTTCAATTAAAATAATTTCTTTATACCTCATGGACCTACATCAGCATTGGGGCGAATTTCAATTTCTTATCAGTCTACAGAATCTTAAGTGATATGACTTTAAAATTATCATCAAACTCTTTAGGAATTCACAGATAAAAACAAAATAAGTTCTTTATGGGAAAGTATAAC